CTTATACACTGTTGTAGGAATGTAAATTCCTGCAGCTGCTATGGAAGTCAATTGAGAGAGTCCTCAAAAACTAAAACCAGAGCTACCATATGATCCTGCTATACCGCTCTTGGACATATACTCAAAGGAATGTAAGTCAGCATATAATAGAGACACCAGCACAGCCATGATTACTGCAGCACCACTCATAGTCGCCAAGTTTGGGAATCAGCTTAGGTGCCCATAAACAGATGAATGGATAAAGAAAATGCTGTGTGTGTGTGTGTGTGTGTATGCAATGAAGTATTATTCAGCCATAAAGAATGATGAAATTAATGTGGTTTGCAAGAAAATGGATGAAACTTGAGATCATTGTATTAAGTGAAATAAGTCAAATTGAAAAGACAAATACTGCATTTTTACTCTTAAATGTGGGATCTAGATCTTGAAAATAAAGGACCTGAACATAAAGGGGGAGTTACGAAGAGGGAATAAGCAGAAGTGGGAGGGGAAAAGAGAGAGCTTATGTGTGGGGGAGCATATTGTATTGTGGGAATACATTGGATGCATATATGAAGGGAACATAATGGAACCCATTTTAAATATTTGTAGAAAATTTTTTAAATATTTTAAAGTTAGGGGTGGGGGGGAAATGAAAGAGTAACAGAGGGACCTCTCACTTTTTTCAATTAATATATACTAATAAAATATTTTTAAAATAATATTACATAAAAATATAAAAGAGAGTAAAAAGGCTTATAGATAAAAGACTGAGAAGTAGACTAACACCACATGTTTCACTAACAGTGTTAAATACTAAAACAACAGAAGGAAAATGAGTAGAAAAATTTTTGGCTGCACTGGGGTTTGAACTAAGGGTTTTGAGCTTGCAAGGTAAGTCTCCTATACCACTTGAGTCACACCTCCAGCACTTTTGCTCTGCTTATTTTGCCCATATGAGCCTGGACCATCATCTTCCTATTTTAGGACTTCAGCGTAGCTGGGATGACAGGCATTTTTCTGTTGGGACAGAGTCTTGGAACTTCTTGTCTGGGCTGGCCTGGAATAGCAATTCTCCCAACCTCAGCATCCCAAGTAGCTGGGATTAAAGGTGTGAGCCACCATACCCAGCTAATTTTTAAAATCTATGATCAATCATACTATTGGTTAACCATACATGTATTTGTCATAAAATAACTCTGAGATAATGACTAGTAGATTTCTGACTTTAAAAGTCATAACAAGAAGAAAAGTTACTCCCAGAATAAAGTAAGGGGATATGTAGAATAACTGCCATATTTTTAAAAGATATCATTTGCAAGGAAACACCATTTTAAGAATAAAGACTTATAAAAAGTATGGTGAATTACTTCAGTGGATTTAGTTGATACTTAAATACTTTTATATATAATTGGTCTAGTTTAGTCTTATAACAACCCCACATAAAAATTTAAAACTCATTTCATGCCTTTGGTTTTCAGTGTTAAAAACTAGGTTGTGGACCTCACAAAAAAAATTTTAATCATTTCTGAATTGACATGTTTAGAGAAAAAAAAGAAAGTACATGCTACCTAGAATCATGTTTTGAAAAATGAATGAATGACTGGATATTTTAATGTTTTATAAGCCCTTGGAATTTTTCAAATTTCATTTCATTTGATGCCATAAAAACTAGCCAAAGTTAAATAGAAATCCAATTATAGGTCAGGAAATTTAAATATGGAATTCAGGAAGTTAATCTAATCAACAGAATAGTCTTGTACTTAATTTATTCTTATCCTTAAAGTCAGAGATATGAACAAGTTCAATTTGAAATCCAGTTGGAGGTTCACACATTATTTTAAAGTTCTATAAGTTTTCAGAATTCTCAGGTAAAGGGAGGCTGTTAAATAGTGAATTGATTACATAGAAATTGGAAATTTTCTCACCATAGTTAAAGAGAATTATTCATTCCTTTCTGAATATAAAAAGTTCTTTTGAAATTCAATGAATAGATAAGTTTCAAATAAATAAGTCCTTAGAAAACCAATTCACTTACCAAATATTTAAAAATTATTTATTCAACAAATTGAGCAGTTGCTATCATGAGGCATTGCGCTATGTTCTAGAAATTTAATAATAAATAACCACACACATATGCAGACTATTTTCAAGGTGTTTAGAATCTATTAAAGTCATTTAGTAGCCATGTGCTGGTGGCTCACGCCTATAATCCTAGCTAGTTGGGAGTCAGAAATCAGGAGGACTACAGTTCGAAGCCAGCCAGGGCAAATAGTTCAAGAGACACCATTTCAAAAAAACCTATCACCAAAAGAGGGCTAGTGGAGTGGCTCAAGGTATAGGCCCTGCATTCAAACCCAAGTACTGAAAAAAAAAGTAATTTAATGTACTCTGGAGTAAGAGAGTTTCAATTTTTTTTCTCTTCCATTTTGAAAATTAAAATACCAATAAGATAATTTGTAAATAACTTGAAATAATGGATTTATCAATCCCCTTAGAAGAAAAATTGCTAGAAAGTTATTATTTTATATGCAGAGTCATCCCTTTTACCTTGTGCCAGACTTTCAGTATGTGGAACTCCAAAATGTAGCAACAATAATTAGTACTATACCTATTGTAGCCTTTTCTGTGTTGCACTTAATGAGTTATCCAGATAAATAAGTTTTTGAAAGTTGTCTTCAAATAATAGGGTTAATGGTTTATGATTGCCCAGGAATAAAAGCAATTTTGAATCAAGAATAAGGTGTAATTGTTCTCCTCCTCCTTTTCCTCCTTTTTCTCCTCCTCCTCCTCTTCTTCCTGCTCTTCTTTCTCTTTCTGGGTTTGGACTTGGGGCCTCATGCTTGCTAAGCAAGTGTTCTACCATTTGAGTCACTCTGCAAGCCCTTCTTTGTGGTGGGTATTTTCAAGATAGGGTCTTCTGAACTATTTGCCTGGCCTGACTTTGAATCATGATCCTCCTGATCTCTGCCTCCCAAATAGCTAGGATTACAGACAACAGCCACTAGTATCCAGCTTCCCATCCTTGAATTTAGTCCAGATTATCTTTCCCGGCTTTGCTAAATTGTGCTCACTTTCTCAACAATGGATAAATCAATCCATCTACAAACTAAATTACTAATAGTGTCTGTTCTCTGTCTTCACTGTCTAAATGGCCCCTCAGCACATAACCTTCCAACTTTAGTCTCAGATCATATGCCGCCATCTTGGCTCAAAAGGACTCTCATCTACAATTTCCAGAACTGAATACTTCCCCAACTCCAATATTACTAAAGACTAATACAGCTGAATAAAGATAAGTCTTAAACACAATTCTTTTCCTTTTGACATATCCTCATGGAAACTCAACTAAGCATGAAAAAAAATCTGATTGAAAGAGGCAGATTTAAGCGTCTCTCTATAAGGTACTTACAGTTAAAGAAAATATTTCCTCTGATTATTAAGAATTCATGCACTTGATGCTCAATTACATAAAATAACTCCCTTTCTCTTTCCTTTCCCTTCCCTTCCCTTATCATTCCTTTCTTCCTTGTTTTACTGGGTATTGGACCAGCAAAACCATTATGTAGCTCTAAGTCCTCTACCACTGAGCTATATTTCCATCCCAGCATCATTTACCTATGATTACAATTGCATTTAATTTATGATTGATGGCATGTCAATCTTAAATTCTTTTTTTCTCTTGAGAATTTTCAAATTCTTTTAGAATTTCACTTCTTCCTCTCCTAGTCACAAATATTCAATTCCTGCAAAGTTTTATCTCTCTGAATGAGAAAATACCTAGGAGGAGAAAATTTACTTTTTCCTAATAAATTTCTCTAATTGCAGACAAAATATTTTATTACTTAGAAAATATTTTTTTCTTTTATAAATAGTCATATAATTTGATGTTTTGGTTGCTTCCAAATTTTATTCTTATTTGTAGCTAATTTACATTTAACAATGATTTTGCTCTCCTTAGAACTTCCTATTTATTCTTGTACATCTTTTAATTACGCTGTTGGAGGTAGAATGCTGATGTGGATGGACAGTTTTCATTCCAGCAAGACCACAAATAATCCTAAACTAGGTCAGATTGCAATTAGAAGAAGGGAACCAAGACAGGAAGCAAAGAAAATATTTCCCTCCTAAGTCACCATACATATGGAAAGTAGGTGCAAAAAAGTAGGACTGAGTGGGGCACTACTTTTAGTGTAGTAGAGATCATACATCTGTAAACTTTCTTGAGATTAAAAAAAAGCCCTTTAAGTCATTACACTTTCACCTCAAAATTTACAAACCATATAATCATTCCACAAGTCCTGATAAGTGTCTTGTGCAAAATGGAAAGCACACTCTATTGTTTAAAATGGTTTAATTTTTCCTCAGTTATCATGAATATGTTTTGAGCAACCATAAAGAGTTATCACCTAAGAGTCATTTGCTGTGTTCAGCAAATTCTTGCCTGTTTCTGATCAATATGAACATGTACAATATTGAAATATTGTGTCAATACAGAAAATGAATTAAATGCATTACTGTTCTTTCATTTGAGTACTGTAGCCCTAAAAGATTATACATCACTATAACAGAGAAAAAAATTCCATGTATCCTCAAACTTCATTAACTATGGACAAAGCTGTTTTAGAAATATTACAAGCACATCAACTGAATACATTCAACAGAATAAATTACAAAATTGGTGACTTGGAACTCTAACTGCTTTTAAATACAGAATTTCAAGTGAGTTATTAAATAAACCTATTTGAAATCACCATTAAAAGGTAATGAATTTACTTTTGTTTCCCTATTAGTAAAAGAAAAGGAAGCATTAAAACTACATATAGTTAAGATAGGAAGCAGATGAAAAAGGAACATATGACTGGATTGGCATACAACTGCATAAAAGTATAATCAATATGTAAACGATGCTATATTAACTAAAAGTCTTAATTTAAAAAGGAAGCATGCATAGGCAAACAACTTTGATTCTTCTGCTAATGAAAGTTTACTTCTACAACTTAAATTTTGTAATAAGCCTGCTAAGTACCTTGAATCACACGATTGGGGATAATCGATCTCAGGAAGTTGTACTCCCTGGTCCCAGAGCCTTCTGTCAGACACACCTCATACTGGTAGCTGTGGGACAGGGTCCCCGCACCGCTGACATCCACCAGGTGGCCCGGAAAGTGGCCCTGGGGCACCGCACAGCCAGACACAGAGGCCGCCCTGCTCCTCCTGCACAGCCGCACCGCCACGAACACCAGCACACACAAGAGGAAGAGCGACGACACCGACGCCAAGGCCACCACCAGGTGCAAGGTGAGCGCGTCGCCCCGCCCCTGCTCGGCCGCCGCTTCCGGCAGCGGCAGGTAGGGCTGGGAGAAGCCATCCACCAGCAGCACGTGCAGCGTGACGCTGGCAGACAGCGGCGGCTCGCCATTGTCCCTGACCAGCACCAGCAGCCTGTGCTTGGGCGCGTCGCGCTCGCTCAGCAGCCTGGCGGTGCGCACCTCGCCATTGTGCGGCCACACGCTGAAGAGCCCGGGCTCCGTGGCCTTGAGCAGCTGGTAGGACAGCCATGCGTTCTGGCCCGAGTCGCCGTCCACCGCCACCACCTTGGTGAGCAGGTACCCCGGCTCGGCCGCCCTGGGCAGCAGCTCGGTGCAGGGCGCAGAGGCGTTCTGCATCGGGTACAGCACGAAGGGCGAGTTGTCATTGGCGTCCAGCACCAGCAGGCGCACGAGCGCCTGGCTGCTGAGCGCGGGCGAGCCGCGGTCGGCGGCGCCCACGCGGAACTCCAAGGCCTGCAGGGCCTCGTAGTCCAGCGGCCTCAGGGCGAACAGCTGCCCGCTGTCCGCGTCGATGGCCACGAGCGAGGCGAGGGCCAGGTGCGGCTCTGGGGGCGGCAGCAGCGAGTAGGTGAGCTGGGCGTTGGTGCCCGCGTCCCTGTCTGTGGCGCTCACGCTGCCTATGTGCAGGCCGGGGCCGTTGTTCTCGCGGACCCGCAGGGTGTAGGAGGTGTGCGTGAAGGCCGGGGCGTTGTCGTTCACGTCGGACACCTGCACGCTTATGCTGTGCTCAGTTTTCAGCCTGGGTGTACCCAAGTCAGTGACGGTTATGGTGATGTTATACTCGGACCTGGTCTTCCGGTCCAGGGGTGTGTTTTTCACAAGAGTATGACAGTTCTCAACTGAGGGCTTCAGGACAAAAGGAAGCTCATCTTGGATGGAGCAAACCATCCTTCCGTTGTCTCCTGAATCAGGATCTGAAACACTGAATACAGCAATTATGGTTTCCAGCAAGTTTTCTGGAATCTCATTGATAAGTGTTGACATTGTCACTTCTGGAGGGTTGTCATTCAAATCCATCACTTGGACAAATACTACACAACTTCCAGAAAGGCCCCAACGATCTGCCGCCTGAATAGTTACTGTGCAAGTCTGAATGGATTCAAAATCCAGTTTCTGAGCTAAAAGGAGTTCTCCCGATTTTGCATTTATTTGAAACGTTTTTCGAATGTCTTCAGAAGCTTGAGAAAGTACATAAGATGTTTCTTCATTAATTCCAACGTCTAAATCCCTAGCAGAGACAGTGGCAACCTGGGATCCAATGGGACTGTTCTCTGGGACCTGCACCTCGTAGAGCAGTTTTGCAAACTCAGGAGCGTTGTCATTGATGTCCGCAGCTTCAATGCGGATCAGGACAGTGCCAGACCGGGTGGAGTTTCACGGTCCAACGCAGAGAGAGTTAACCTGATTTCAGGCTGTTCCTCGCGTTCCAACGCTTTGTCCAGCACTAACTGTGGCAATATGCCATTGGGACTGTCTTGTAATTTAAGATGAAATTAGTAATTGGGAGTGATTGTGTAATTTTGGAGGCTATTGCTTCCTACATCTAAGTCTTGCGCACGTTCTATTAGGAAAGTAGTTCCAGGAGCAATAATTTCCGAAATTTTCAAAATTATTTATCCAAGAAAACAGGGGAATGATCACTTATGTTCCTAATCCAGAGCTCAGCCTGGAAAAAGTGCAAGGGACTTTCCAATAACACCTGGAAAGGTAGTACATAGGGCTCAGTAGGATCGCACAACTCCTCCCAGTGCCGTTTCTCATTTAATAATAAATCTCCAGTCTGCCTATCCAACTGCAAACGCAATCTTTTTTCTTTAGAAACCAGCCTGGCACCCCTCAAAGCTAGTTCGTCTACCTCCAGTCCCAGATCTTTTAATAAATTGGCCACAAAGGAGCCACTCTCCATTTCTTCAGCCACTGAATAGTGCCTAGGCTTGTAACCAGCCTGAGCTATGCCCAGTAGAACAAAGAATATCAGGACTTGCCTTCCTTTCCCTCTCTGGTTTCCATCGCCTCTGGTCTCCCAGCAAACTCGCTCCAATCTGGCTCTGGCTTACGTTATTGCTGCTCTGTCTCCCACTATCTTGCAGACAAATGGTAAGTGGACAGTCCCGAGGCCTTGATTTCCCAGAGCCACCGTCTTAGAAAGCCTCCTCTTCCTGCAGGCTTCTTTAGCTGAGTACCTAGCTCAAGCAGTCAGCTGGTTGCTTTGTTTCTTCTACTTCTAAGACTACAGAGCCACCCTGCTTCTTTTCCTAGTATTTATTTTCTTCCAAACTAAGAAAATCCCAGTACTTTCAGAGTTATAACAATCTAAGGTGAATATTTTTCAAGTAGTGTCTCAATGTACTGAAGTTTTATCTGTATTTTGGACAAACATAAACAAATCTCCACTTCAGTTTCGAATACAAGCAGCTCTTTTCAAACTGGGAAAAACAAGTTTAAGAAACTGGAAGGATGTGACTTCAATCCTAAAATGCATGCGACAGAAAGAAGGCTTTGACTAGGTAATTTCCTGCTTTATTCAGTTTGGACATGTGTGCAAATTGGTGGTGGTTAGGTTACCATCATACCCAATCAAAAAGTATAGGGACTTAGGAAAAGCACAGAATTCAAATGAGACTGTCTCATGGACACTGAACTTCTTACAGTTCCTTGAACTGCTCCTACTTCATGTTTCTCTGAACATTGATGTGTTTAAGTCACAGGAACATCTCTGAGTGCAGCTGGATAATTTCTTCTTGTAAATGTCAATATTTTTATTTTCCTTTCCAATGGATAAAGTTGTTTTTAAAACATAACTTCACCTTAAGTATCATATCAGACAAAATTAAGAACAATTTCATAATTTCAAATACTCCATATATAGTCCAATTTCCCCAATTATCTTTCAAAAATGTCTTTTTAGAGAAATGTGTTAAATCAGGTTCCAAATGAGAGGTTGCAATTTGTCATTTAGTTTTTAAAGTTTCCACATTTTTGTGTTTTAAAAAATATTTGTTATAAGTAAATGAACTATCAAGCCACAGAAAAATATGAAGGAATCTTAAACACATATTACTTAGTAAAAAAAATCCAACTACATGGTATTCTGGAAAAGGCAATATTACAGAGACATTAAGATCAGTGGTTGCAGGGAGACTGGGGAGGTGAACCACTGGGTTTTTAGGGCATTTAAACTTTAATAATGATACTACAATAGAAGATTCATGACATTATCCATTAGTCAAAACCCATATAGCTGAACATCACATTGTAAGCCTTAAACTATGTACTTTGACTAATAATAATGTATCAATATTATTTCATCAATTGTAACAATTGTACCAAACAAATGCAGGATTTTAATAATAGGGAAACTGCAAGTGAGAGAAAGTGGGTATATGGGAACTCTCTGTATTATTTGCTCAATTTTCTGTAAAATCTAAAATGCTTAAGGATACTCTACTAATTTAAAAATACTCATAGTAAAAAATTTTAAATACAAGGAAAAATGGAAAGACCTGTACAAGAAATGCAAATTATCTCCCATCCAAACTAGACAACAGCTTATTTTCTGCCAAATTCGTTGCATCTAACTATCTATCTATCTTGCTATACACACATATCCCATTTTTGCTAGTCCATATGAAAACAACATACAAACCTTATGATACCTTGCTGCTAAATACTTCAACAAGCATCTAAAATTTATAAGAACATTATCCCATATAGTCATAATGCTACTATTACACCTAGAAAAGTTAACACCAATTCATATTTTAAAAAATCCAGTCCCTACCAAAGATCACTACTTGTCCTTTCATTATCTTTTCTCAATTTTTTTCAGTTTTGATAAAAATTCACATTTAGTTTTAAATTTCTTTTACAAAGCACTATTTTCTTAACCATTTGTTATAAGGAATATATTAAAAACTTACACCAAGTTCCATGATTGTATTTGGGTATTAAACCTATAACAGTCTCCCATCTTTAATGACATTGAAATTTTGAAATGACCAGATTAGTTGCCCTGTAGGATGTCCTACACTTTGCATTTGTTTGATTGCTTCTTCATAGTGTCATTTAACTTGTTCTTCTACTCCTGTTATGTACAGGAAACTGAAACAAATACTTATTAAATCAAAGGGGGGAGGAGAATAAAAAGAGTAATAAAGGGGGTGAATTTGATCAAAATACATTTTACACAAATGTGGAAATAATGAAACCCCTTTGTATTATTAATACATGCTAATAAAATCAATGGTTAATATTTTAAGAATTCTCATTTAAGATCTGTAATTATATAAAATATGCACCAGTTCACTTTTTAATATTTAGAAAAAATGCCTATTACTATCCTGTTGATAATTTTTGTTTTGTACAATTATTAGTTTACTGTTGATATCATGATTCCAATTATTTTAATTCATTGACATTGAATATTAAACACAATTCATCCAGATGAAGAAAACCCAATCCTAAGCTTTTAAAAACAGATCTTTAGGTTGGGTGCAGTGATGTACACCTGTAGTACCATATACTTGGAAGGCTGAGACAGGAGAATCTCTTGAGCCCAAGAGTTTGAGATCATCCTGAGAAACACAGCGAAGCCTTGTCTCAAAAACAAATAGGTGGTATGAAAAAATTACATAATTTAGCATCTCTTACAAGTTGCAGACTAAAAACTTAATTTCTAAGACATTTTAGAGACAACAATACAGTACTCAAGAACACAATAGATTTTAAAAACCTTCCATGTTGACCCATGTGTTGTCACAACCCTCAGGCTCCTCCCTTTTTCATTTTCAGTGGTATTAATACAGTTAGTAATAAGAAGAAACCTTTCATTTTTCAGAGATGAAAGAACCATTACAAACATTTTATATTTATAGCTGTTTTCCAACCTTGAGTGCATTGTGTCCACTATGATACATTAAATCTTTAATTTTCTTAAACCTTGATGACAAGTCACATTCCTTCTTGAGCACCCTTAACATGTTTTTGTTTTCTTGATTCCCTTTAATAAAGAATCATATTAGAATTATCATGTTTATTAGTTAAAATAAAATATTCATATGTTTATATATAATCATTTATATTTTAGTGAGGAAATCTATTATAACATGAAAAATATGTTACTAGAGTAGATTTGATTTCTTATGTTTGGGTTTTATTTTTCATATACTTCTCAATCAGAAATATTATCCTAGGGTCACTTCCATAATTTTGAAGATATTTTTGAGATGGTGTCTCACTATGTTGCCCAGGCTGGCCTCAAATCTTTGGGCTCAAGAAATCCTCCTGTATCAGTCTCCCAAGTTTCTAGAATTATAGGTTCATGCCACCACAACTGGCCTTGAAGATTATTTTCAATTAAATATAGTACAACAAAATACTGTACAAATAATTTTCCATTCTCTGCGAAACATGTATTTTCAAAACATGTCAAAGAAAATACAATTAAGTCCTATGATCTTAAAGATCAGTCATTTAAAAATAAGAAGAGTTCTTTGAGCACCTATCACAAATAGATTGCCTCTATTTTGAACTGAAAGGCAATTCGATTCTTTTGACAGCCACAAGCTGTAAATTATAAGAACTAAGAGAAAGAGTAGTCAAGGGCCTTATGTGAGTTTTACTTGTCAAAAGCAATGCTAAACCATATAGATTTTATCTCATACTAGTTCTCTCTCAATAGAGAAATTGTTAACCCTTCACTGGCCCACAAACTAATTTTACTCACTCAATTATCAAACGGCAGAAGAAAGGGGTTTTTCAATGGCCTACTACTGAGACACAGTAGGAAATATATAAGAAATATTCTATGGTGGGAAGAGTGTTCTGGTACCATTCATTACTTTATCTAGAGTGGAAATTGGGAGTCTACAATAATACTTAAGCAATTTTCTAAAAGCTCATATTTTACTTTTCAATTTCTTTTACAAATAATACTTTTGGGGGCAATACTAAGGGTTGAACTCAAGGCCTTGCACATGGTAGGCAGGCACTCTACCACTTAAGTCATGCCCCCAGCACTTTTTACTTTAGTTATTTTTCAGGTAGGGTCATGTGTGTGTGTGTGTGTGTGTGTGTGTGTGTGCGCGCGAGAGTTTTGGTGAGAGTGGGGTTTGAACTCAGCGCTTCATGCTTACAAAGTGGGCACTCTACTGCGTGAGTCACACCTCCAGCCTGGGTCTTGTGTTTTCGCCTGGGACCAGCCTTAGACCATAATCCTTCTATCTCTGACCTCCTCTGTAGCTGGGATTACAGGTGTATGCCACCATGACCAGCTTGCTGGTTGAGATTGGGGTTTTGCTAACTTTTTTTCCAGGTCTAGATTTGGACAGAGATTCTCTGGATCTCTACTTCCTGAGTAACTGGGATTACAGGCATGAGTCACTGAGCCCAGCCAAATGCACTTACTTTCTTACTAATCTGTTATAAGGAATGTCTTAGAAAATTTGTTTCTAAAAACCAGGCTTTATGATCTATTTATTCTGTAACAGTCTCCTATCTTTTGACTTATTGAGGATGCAAATAAATTTTCCATAACCTGCCAGATAAACATTTCATGTAATTCAAGCAAGCATAATTTCAAAATAAAGATGATTTAAGAATGAGAAATGATGCCACTGGGGTAGTTCATTTCTGTAATACCAGCACTTTGGGAGACTGAAGCAGGAGAATCATGAGTTCAAGGCAAACCTGGCCTACAAAATGAAACCCTGACTCAAAAAAAGAAGAAATTGGGCTGGGGGTATAGCTCACCAGTAGAGTGAATGTAAGGCTCTAGGTTCAATCCCCAGCACCACACAAAAGAAAAGGGGGGATGAAAGGACTGTTTATCCTCTCCCCATAGTACAAATACACAACCAATGATTTTATAAGGGATACTTGCACAAGAATATTGCCATTTTTGTTTAAAGATAATTGTAGTCTATTAGTCCATTGTATGCCCTTGTAAAAAAAATCTTACCTAGTATTGCCATGGATTTTAACCTGATTTAAGTGTATATTGAAATTTCACTTTAAAAGAAAATATGGCAGTTTGTTAGTTACCAAATACAATATAGAAAATTAGTAAATAAGAAGAGATTCAAAATTTTGGGGAGGACAAAGAGTAGGTGGGGGGTGGGGAGAAAACTGCAAACCTGATGACAAAATGTAGAACATAAATAATCTACTTACATGGACTAAAGAACTATTAGGAAATGCTTTAAACTGAGAAAATAAAAATAATATGTATTGTCACATTGGGTGTTTATCTGAACACATACCATAGAACAGGAAGAAAATAGAGCCAAAGAATACTGAGGCCAAGTAATGGAAAAGAAGATGCTAAGTGAGGAATCTGAAACCTTTCCTGTCTAGATGTAGAGCTGAACAAAATGATGGTCCAGAAGCAGGTGAAGTCTGAATGTGGAGGACAAAAGAGGCATCTCAGTGCTCTTAAGTCTATGATCAAAACTTGGTAGTGTACACTTTCCTGTCTTGCTTACATGCTAAATAGTCTGAGATTTGAGTCCTTAAGTAACAATAGGGAATAAAGACCTTCCAGACCTAGTCTCTTTCCACTGCCACTACCTTGAACATCACATACTCCTTTCTGCATCAAGTATAACATTGAAGGTGAATTACCATTGCCATCAAACACTACCACCAACACCAACACCATGCTACTTAGTTCAGTGGTGATGCTATCTGTTTCCCTCATGCATAACTTGAAAGAAGGGCCTTACGATTCATGGAATCAAAGCAAGCAGGTTCTCTATGTTCATTTTGATGGAGTAGTACATACACTGGATACAGCAATAAGTAGACTACTTGTGAAGTTTTCCAAGTCTGTGTTTATGGTGGTATGATATTTAAATACATGCATTCTGAGGCAGTGTTCTCATTCTTGGTAACTACAGAAGTAGTTTGGTGAAAATGGAGACATGGCTATATTATTTTACATTTTCAGCTTCAAAAACTCTAAAACTTTGGAAATGAGATAGTGGAATTTTATTTTTTCATTGTTTACCTTTATTAAAGATTTTTAAGTTAAGGGAAAGTGGTATTATGAAAACAAAGCATCTGTGTTTCTGGATCTGAAATATGAAAATAGGGTCTCAAACTAGTTCCCTGGAATGAGTATCAGAGGAAGACTCTCCTTCACATTTAAATGGTATATTTCCCAGAGCCTTTGACCTCAGTATATGTCATTTCCTGGGTTTTAGTGAACAGTTTTTTATTACCAATATATGCCTTATTTAAAAATGTCATTAAGTCTTCAGTATTTCAGAAAAGCCACTAAGATATTTCTCTATTATGTCTTACATCCAAATCTCTGACAGAAAAAGTGATATCTAGTAAGAGAAGACCTTTTTGTTTTTGGGTTAGTACTTTATAGTATAACAGAGAAAAATCACTAACAGCCCACAACTTTGGTAAAGATCAGTTCATATCTAGACATGTGTGATAACCTGCTATTTAATTTTAACCCTATTTCTTTCCACTGAGAAATTTGTCCATTCCATTATCACTGTCCAGGCATATATCCAAATCCTGTCAACAGTATACTGGGATATTAATTTGTAAAGAATTATTTCTGATGTTTAATGAATAAGAAAACAGTAGAAATTAACAAACACAAATTAAGCTTTAAAATAGTCAATACAGCAATTCATTGGAATTATGACTTAAATAATGAAAGACATATTTCTACAAATTTTTTGAGACAGAATCTCACTATGGCATCAAATTTATGATCCTCCTGCTTTGGCCTCTCAAGTGGTGGGGTTACAGGCATGCACCATCATGTATTACTTTACAATTATTTTCCCTTGTAGTTTTATATGTGCATTTGATTTTCTGTTATCAATATCATCACAATCATCAAATTTATTTCAAATAAAATTATTATGTAATTCAAGTAAATAGATAATTGAATTAAGTAGATAGAGATCAGTATTGTTTAAACTTCACAACTTGCTAGTCCTACTTATGAAATATCAAGAAAACTGAAAGATGACCTTAAAATAAACAGCCTGACATTCTACAAAAAGGTATAAAAATTATCATTTTAGGGATAGAAATTCTTTTTTTTTTCATTGCTGGGGCTTGAACTCAGGGCCTACACCTTGAGCCACTCTGCCAACCCTTTTCTCTGGTGGGTCTTGAGAACTGCTTGCTCAGGCTGGCTTCGAACTGTGATCCTCCTGATCTCTGCCTCCTGAGTAGCTAGGATTACAGGCGTGAGCCACTGGCACCCTGCAAAGGATAGAAATTTTTGTCAAGCTTCAGGATATCTGCTACTCACAGTTTTGAGGAACCTTACTTTTAAGGAAGATCAAAGATTAGGCATGAGCTTTTCTGATTAATAATAATGGAGAAATAGGCTACTAGTTTCTAAACAGACATTTGTGAGACTGATAAAAAGACAAAAATTTCAATGCCACCAAAATGTGTTGCTACAGGTAAACAATAACCTATGCTTCAGGAAAAACACTACTGAAGTTAGAGTCATAAAATTATAACTATACTATCACCTCAAGAGGTGATATTTTCCTCTAACTTTTACCCAGAATCCAAAGCAAAAATGCCAATGATAGGTCTCTCTATTTACTGTCTGAGTATGAGCTTCTAAGAACCCAATTTCATTTGAGATAAAATAGCATTGCAGGTAGTTCTCCTTTCTCTACCCTGAATTTGGTTGAAAGAATATGGAATATTTTAAATATTCAATGGGAAGAAAGAAATTGGTAGTACTGGGCCTTGAACTCAGAGCCTTGTGTTTACTGGGCAGGCTTTCTAACACTTGAGCCACAACCCTATCCCTTTTTTATTTATTTTTGAGATAGGGTCTGGTGTTTAGGCCTAGGCAAGCCTGGACAATCTCCTGTTTATGCTTCTTATTGTAGCTGAGATGACAGGTGCCTGGCACGACACCCAGCTTTTTATTGGTTTAGATGAGGTCTAGCCACCTTTTTGCCCAGGCTGGCCTCTAACCAGGATCCTCCCTATCTCCACTTCCAAAGTAGTTAGGACTACACACCACCCTGCCAACTGGAAAGAAAATTCTTAAAGGATCAAAGCATTTTCTTTTTATCCCCGAGTGCTGATATTATGATCCATAAAAAGAGAAGTTTGTTTCTGGACGTTCCAGGATGAGGCAGGTAGGCATACATAGTCAATTTCTTGAAACTGTAATGCAGTAAGATTGTCACCCAACATCCGTTGCATGAAGAAAAATATTTTGAAACCATTTCTGTTGTCAATTGTACTGACATGACTGAGTAATTTTCTTGCAGTAGGTGTTTATAGTGAAGATATTAGAGGTACTTAAAATGTTTCCTCTGTGAGCCCCAAAAGTTGGGCAATTCAGAGAGCCTGGAGAACTCATTTAATTATTCACTGAGACTAAATTTTCTCAAAAACTTTTGATAAGTAAGTGCCAAGGGAAATTCACTTCAAGGATTGTTATTCATTGTCACAATTTTGACCTGGAAGGTCTCAGGCTAGTGATGATACCTATAGTTTCTTTCTGTGAATATTAAACTTACCTAGGGTTGTTCTTCACCCAGCGATTTTCCCATGAATAGATGAGTTACTTACCCTCACTATAGCACGACACATTATTGTGAAAAGGGAAGTTGAAATGTGCAGATTCTAATGGTGGGAAATCACTTAAACTCCATGTACATCCCTGGTGCACACTGGTAATAGAAGAATTTTTCACAGGAGGAACAGTTACATTAGACTCACTGATTTTTCTTGGAAAACAAAAAAGAAATTTACAGGTAACACTTGGAAGTGCAGAGGTTCTTAGGTCCAGTTTTTTATTTGGGAGAAATGGCTCTTTGATCTGAAATATTCTTTGTTCTCTTTGGAAACTACCCTGCTCCTCTGTTTTCCCACCCTGTGCAGACACTTCCCTTTCTGATACTGGCACCAAATGTACAGAAACTCTCATTGTAAACAGAAGCTTTCAGTCAGGCCTCTGTGGCTCATGCCTATCTATGATCCTAGCTACTTGAGAAGCTGAGATTAGGAGGATTGAGGCCATCCCAGGCAGAAAGTTCCCAACACCCTATCTCCAAAATATCAGGGCAAAATAGACTATAGGTGTGGATCAAGCCTGTTTTGGAAGCACAAAACCCTGAGATCAAACCCCATCCCATCAAGAAAAAAATGCTTTCCTTTTCCTGGACAGCCTGTTCTACATCTTGGAAGAAAATGAAAACCTGCCACTTTCCTTTTCTGCCAGATTTTCTGTTATGCAATTTCCTGTGTATCATTGTAATGCATTGTCTTTCATAAAGGAAGTCCTCAGAAGTGCTATTAAGAAGAGTAACATCGACCTATGGCTAGTCTTTTGAAAAATGCTGAAGAGCCTAAGCTCACTGATGTTTTCCAATTCATATTTTTTATTTTCTTTTTTCTGTGTTGGAGATTGAACTAGGGCTTCACGCATGCTAAGCAAGCTCTCTACCTCTTGAGCCACACCCTTGGCCCCTTTGACTTACTTTGTTTCTGAGATATGGTCTCTCCAACATTGCCTACGCTGGTCTCCAACTCTCAATGCCTCTGCCTCCACCTTCTGTGTGGGGCTAGATTCTGCTTTTTCTAAATTGAAGTTTTAGGTTTTAACCTGAAGCACCACCAGGAATCAGAACTAAACACCTGGACTGTACAGCACTTTCCTGAAGAAACTGTCAAAATCTATTCATATAACTTGTGGCAGAATTCTTACCTCCTGATAGTTTTAATCATTTCTCTGATTTTTGGTTGATTTATGTGATCAAAATGATTGCTGGCACAAAATCAGATGTGCAATTTGCTTTGACAGTAACTTGAATTGGATTTCTTCATTTAAGTCAGACAACCATTTTGCCATACATTGATTGAATTTATTATTTCTTCAGTGGGTATTTGTTACACATAGATTATATTCATGTACTGCAAAAGGCACTGGGGAATGTAAGTCTAGTGCCTACAACTCAGGCCCAGAAGGGTGACACAGGTAATGCAACAATTATGCTACTTGGTGATTTATGCACACACTATGAGATATTAAAAAGGGGATATTTAAGTAAGGACAGAAAGGAAGTGTTAGGAAAGAGTCTCAGAGGAAGTGAGGCTTGAACTAAGTTGAATTTTATGACCAACTAAAATTCAAACCTGTGAAATTATTTTCTATTGCAGATGAAGCATTTCTGCTTTTATAGGGAATACATTTTTCCCTTGGAAGAGGGGCACATCATGGCTTATGTGGGGTGCAGTCCATCAGTTAATCAACAGCACAGAGCTCTGCATGAAGTATGGAAAAGTGGCAACTGGAAGACTAGGGATGTCCTTTTTCCCAACTTGAATTTGGCTCACAATCTAGTACTCAACTTAAAATAGAGTCCTTCAACTTGAGTATGTGCATTAGTGAGTGAATGATTTTGTTAACATTAGATTTAGGAAGCATTTTTAAACGGTGACTTAAAAGAATAGGCTTTTTATGTCAGGATCACTCATATTCAAGTCCCAGTTCTTCATATATGTTATATTAAGAAAATTACTTACTCTCTCCAAACTTCAATTTATTCATCTGAAAGAATGTTGGATGTAATTACATTACATACGTCATGAAGTTGTGGTAATTAAATAAACAGTGATTATGAAATGCTTAGCTCAGTGCCTGAACTATCATAGGATTAGTAGTAATACTATGAAACCAAGAACTTATCTACATATTCCTGTTTACTCTTACAGAGTTTAAAGTTTAGTAAGTTTAAATGACTCCAACACTAAACTTATCATCTCCCACTTTAACTCACTAGAAAGTACAGCACATTCTTATTTATGTTGATATCTAAAACCTTAAGCATTTTATAAATTATGAGAATTTCACTTACAGTTTTCACCCTTGTCAAGTAGGACTTTTTTTCATTCCTTCATATCCTTACTCCCTTTTCAATGAATTATTGGATTTTTTCCATGTTTAAAAGGCTCAAATTGCCTTTCAGTTACCACCCTTTTTCTATGAATGTTCTATATATTCAAGATTCTTGAAAAGATTTTATACACACACTGATAATACTCCTTTAATTCTTTATCTTCTCATATTTTTTGGCAGTACTGGGGTTTGAACTCAGAGCCTCACACTTCTTAGGCAGGAGCTCTATCAGTTGAGCCATTCTGCCACCCTTTATCTCCTCCTTTTTTACAATTTAACACTAAAAGTGTTCTGGTCAATGTCCATATTGCCAAATTGAGTGGGTACTTTTCATTCTTCATTTCATTTGAAGTTTTAGCAATATTAAACATAGTTTATAATTCCCTCCTTTTTGAAATATTCTTTTCTGCTTCCTAAGACAGCACACTCTTCTAGGTTTTTCTCTACTCAGTACTTTTTCAATTCCTTTCAGGACTCCTTATCTTTCCTTTACATACTAAAGTTTCTCAAACTTTTTTCTCCTCTAACTGAACACACTCTTCATTCTACCTTCTCATTCATGGACTCTGTATAGCAATTGCTACTAGCTGTGCCATAATGACAAGGACTTAACTTCTCTGACCCTAAGATTCTTCACTTATAAAATGTACAATGAATTCTTTATCTTAATGAAATACCTATTTTCTCCAAAATTCATTTTTTCACTGAAAAATGGAAAACAAATCCTTAGAATACAAAAGGATGAAAGTCATAGGAAGACATACTTAAACATTTTAAAAATATTGGTCTCCTGGCCACCTGGTTTGGTGACCATTCTCTAATCTGTCTAATTATTTTACAAAGAGTTACAAAGTTTATCTTGGATATTATTCATCTTGTACATACACTACCAAGTCTCAGAATTTTCCCACTTTTGTGCTATATACAATGGAATGGTTTTTCAAGAAAATGTTATGAGTTGAGTTCTTAAAGAGCCCATCTATGGCAGAATCTTTCAAGAACCAATATGCACCATCCATACTGGACTATCATAAGCTTCATATGATTTGTCACTGTGTGGATGGGGAGAATGGAAGAATTTCTCTTCAAAAGTCTAAAAAGGAAAATCTTTAGGCTTCTGAAGACTATAAGCAGAAGTATCTTTGACACTTTATCTCTCTCAACACCATATCCAATTCATCATCAAGTTTGGTGTATTTTATCTCCAAATTATTACAACAAACTATCCCATTTCTATTTGCAGCTATTCACAATACCCTCACCCAGGATGTTTTCAATTTTGCTCACTGGAATCTTAGTATCTCTTGCCTTTTTCACATCCTCTCATACTCTCTCCTCAGCCAATTCTCCACAGAGCAGTAGGAGCAACCTTGTAAAACTTTTAAAATATTGCCACCCCTTTTGAAATCCTGCCATGAATTTTCACAACTTTAAAAAGGAAATTCAAAGTTCTCAGTATGGACTAAAGGATCTGATATGCTAGTTCCCATGTTTATTTTTGTAGATTCAGTTTTTAGCAACTTCTCTCCTTAGTAAATTACTTCTGGCTACAATAGTCTTCTATTTAATCTCCAAACATTCCAAGTTCCTTGGAAACTAAAAACATCTAGAGATTTTTTTCATGTGATGCTCTCTGTTTCCCCATGTTGGTTAACCCTTGCTCTCCCTTAAATTCTAGTTTGACAATTTTTAAAAGATCTTCCCAGACCTCACTAAAATGGTGTATATGTATATACCACTGTCTTTCCCAGGATATTGTATGTACCATGAGATTATGATGTTCCGTGAAACATAGTGGTTTCTTGTAAAGACTTGTTGAATGACTAAATCTGAAATGAGATTCATGTTTATTTCCTCCAATAAAGTAGTAGGTCACTTACCCAAGCAATGGTAAATTTCTCTCTCTCCCCCTCCCTCCCTCCCACCTCCCCTTACCTCTCTCCTCAGTGCTGGGATCAAACCCAGGACTAAGCAACTACTCTATCTCCAGCCCCTCTGAATTCTTATCCCCATAGTCCAGTCTCAAACTTAGATATTAACTGATAAAAGATAATAATATTCTACTTATAGAATATTAGTCTACAGATAACTAACTCTAAAGAATATCATTTTCCTACTTCCGAATTATTTCCAAGTTCATTTTCAGCCCTGTTTAGGTTTCACAGTAATCTATAGTACTTGATTTCTGAACTCCCTGTCAAAACTTCAGTATTTGCTAATATTTTGGATACAAAAGTATCCAGAGCCTACTCCATACCATGAACTGAGATAGTCTCTGGGGAATACAAATTAGAAGCAAAACCAAACACTATCCTTACCTTTAGAGAGCTGAGTCTGATGGGGAAGACTTTAATCAAATAATTCCATGTTAATCCTAGCTACTTAGGAGTCTGAGATCTAGGCAAACAGTTCCTGAGACCACATCTCAACCAATAGCTGAGCACAGCGCCACATGTGCCATCCTAGCTACAGCAGGAAGTAGGATCTCAGTGGGAAGCCTAAAATAGGAGGATGAGGATCCAGGCAGGCCTGAACAAAAAAAAGCAAGATTTTATCTCCAAAAAGTAACCAGAGTAAAAAGAGATGGAGGCCTAGCTCAAGTGGTAAGAGTACCTGCCTAACAAGTGGGAAACTTGAAGCTCTGAGTTCAAACCCCAGTACTGCCCCCCCAAAAAATTCCATAAATTGATGAAGATTGCAATTTGGCTAAGTACTACAAATAAATGATATAGTGGCTGTGACTGCAACTATGAAGACATATTTTTATGTAGATTGGTTAGGAAAGACTTCTCCATAAGTTTTAAGGATAGACAGGCAAAGATGGGAAAACAGCAATTCAGGCAGAATTAATAGCATGCACAGTATAGTACATTTCTCTGAACACAGAATTCTTACTATATCCATTTTCTTTCTCCCCCCGCCCTTTCTTTAATGAAACTTCTGGTTCTCTTCAAACACATGGCAGAAATAAAGTGCTAGCATGTACTAAATTCATAAAAGTCTTTATTCCCATTCCCAGGCTTTCAGCAACTAATGGCAATTGAGAAGACTGGCCGCCACTCTCGTTCGCACAAGTCAATGTACTCATTCGTGCGAGCCACACACAACTCTGTCCTACCTCCTAACTCGCGTAACCTGAAGCCGGAAAGCCAGTCCTGGAAAGGGAAACTCCAGAATCCTCAGCGATCTACCAGTTTCACTTCCGCTTCCTCCTGGTAGGACAGATTTTACTGACGGTACCGGAAGAGCTCGCCACTAGTACTTCCGATTGTCTCCGCTTGAGAGCGTATTTCGGAAATTGTTCGGCTATTTACAGACCTTACTGACCCAGCAGCATTCAGCAGACTTCCGAGTTTAGCTGCTCTTTATTGAACTAACTGAAACTTTTGAAGGTATACCACGAAAGGCTGAGATAAATTGCGGTTATAGAAGCTGTTTTAGAAACACGCTCGGCTTTCGTCTTCCGTAAGGGGAGGCGTTGTTTTTTTATAAGCAAACTCAACTGTGAAGACTTTATTTTTAAGCTTATTAAGGTAGGATCGCTGCGAGGCTTTTCCAGCTCACTCTCTTCAGCTGATGTGAATAATTTTCACTTGCTGGAACCACAGCGCTTTGATGAGGGTTGAAAACAAGGGAGAAACGTAGGGCTGGGGATGTAGCTTAGTGGTAGGGCGCTTGCACACCATGAATGAGGACGCAGGGTTTATCTCCATCAAGAAAGGGGAAAGAGGCCTCGTGAGTAATACTAAGCTTCAAGTGGCATAACGATTTTTTTTAAAAATACATACCTTTGGAAATAGAACCTTTCTTGCTTACGACAAGACAAGTGTAAATTCAAGCACTTTTTGTGAATACGATTAAAATACTGTTAGGAAAATCAGTACAGTTAATTTACTTCTATACCTTACTTTGCAGATAGGGTTTGTTACCATATACATGGTTTGGTGTGCTAGTTAAAGCTAAAAGTGTATTTTGACTTTTATAGTGGAAGTATTATTACATGGGAATTTTCCTGCGATAATGAGCACCAAAGTGCACCAAACTAAAAACATCAGATGTTAGGAACTGGTGTTTTCACTTTCATACTGGCAAAGGCAGGAAAGAAGAAAGATAGTAAATCTGAGTAGGTTGTGTGAGAATCGTTAGGTTGGGTCTTTTCTGTTAAAGGATTTAGTCTGGAATCATTGCTGTTACAAATGTTAGTTCACAGAAACTGCCTTCCCGTATGCTCGCTTCATGGACTGCTTAATGTGATAAAAGTGTCTGTTAAGAACAAAGGGTTATTATCCTCAGAGGGGCAAGAATTCTGCTAGATGCCCTGGTTCCAGAGCTGATAACCAAAAACAGTTATTGCTTCTCTGAACTTTAAACTTCTTTGTTCCCAAAGCCTCCTCCTAAACTGGCCCCTTTCCAATTAGCCAACCGCACAGATTGTGAGCCCAAAACCTGCAGCCCAGGGGCAGGATAGGGATAGCATGGCGTCTGGTAAAACCCCTGCGGACTTCCTCCCCAGTGTGCGTACCTCCCAGACTTTCTGGTGTGGTGCACCCTTCTGCAGAAGTAAATTTTGCCTTGCCTATTGACTTCTGAGTAGTATCATCTCTCTGTGATACCCCATTATATTTAAGATATTTCTTAGAGTTGGACAGGCAGGGACATTCGGAAAAAATTATCCAGAGTCTAGTTCAGGA